GCAAAACCCAGCGGGCACCAACAGCGGAACGACGAAGACTCTGGCGCGCAGCACACAGCTTGGCACGAGGGCATTGATAGGAAAGATTCTATATTACTCCAGGAACTACAGCGACTGGACACGCGTGGTACTCACCACCCACGCAGAGCGGGCAGGAAAACTGCCACGAGTGAGCATGAAAACCATCGTGGCCACGCGACCGCCTCGCCCAACACGGAAGGGTCCCCCGTCTTGATTCCCGGCACGCGTGGTACTCACCACCCACGCAGAGAGGGTAGGAAAACTGCCACGAGTGAGCAGGAAAACCATCGTGGCAACGCGACCGCCTCGCCCAACACGGAAGGGTCCCTCGTCTTGATTCCCGGGTACCAGACTTCGAGGATTCGAAGCAAAATTCGCGCATAGTTCGTTCAACGGCGCACGACTCCGGCAAAGCCAATGTCGCGCCCAGCACGACAAGGGCTCCATTTTATATTATCGCAATCTCGCAACAAGCAGTCAGTGTTACAAGAGACAAAAGACAGTCACCCGGGTACTATGTTCTGCTGGCGCAACTCCCACTAAACTCTGTGCAAGTCGAAACGAAGGTGGGGGTCGTGGCGAAAAAGAGCAGGGTGTTCGACACGACCAAGATGGTGTTCGACACGACCAAGATCACGTTCGACACGACGACGAACACCGTGGCCGACATGACCACGATCGTGCCCAAGACGACGATCGTGCTCAACGACCACGCCCGACGGTCGTGACCGACGACCGCTCTCGGCACGACGATGGTCATGATCGACGACCGATCTCGGCACGACGACGGTCATCGACTCGAGGGCCCTCGACTGGACGGCAAACGTGTTGGACACAACGACGGTCATGTCCGACTCGACGACCATCGTGTTCGACACGTCGACCACCGTACTCGTCACGACGGCGATTATGGCAATGACGATCGTGTTCGACACAACGGCGTCAGGACTCGACAACCATCGTGTTCGACACGACGACGGCGTCAGGACTCGACCGACCGTCGTGTTCGACACGACGACCACCGTACTCGTCAGGACGGCGATCGTGTTGGACACGATGACGATCGTGTCGATGACGACCGTGGTGGACACGATGACCACCGTGCTCGTCACAACGGCCATCGTGTTTGACCCGACGACCATCGCGGCGGACTTGACGACCATCGTGTCGGACACGACGATGATCGTCGACGATCGTGTCGGACACGACGACGACCGTGCTCGATATGATGGTGGTCGTGTTCGACACGACGATGGCCGTGTTCGACACGACGATGGCCGTGTTCGACACGACGTCGGTCGTGTTAGACACGACGACGGCCGTGCACGACACGACGACGATCGTGTTCAACGAGCCGGACACGACGACGAGCGTGTTCGACACGACAACGGCCGTGTTCGATATGATGGCGATCGTGTTCGACCTGACAACGATCGTGTTCGACACCGCGACGATCGTGTTCGACACAACGAGGATCGTGTTCGACACGACGACCATCGTGCTCGACACGACGACGACCGTGTCGGACACGACGACGATCGTGTTTGACACGACGACCAGCGTGTCGGACACGACGACGATTGTTCAACACGACGACGACTGTGTCGACCATCGTGTTMGACATGACGASGACTGCRSTGGAAGTGWTCGAGAAGACTTGTTGACGTCASCAATAAACCAGCACWCGACAMGGCCGTSCRCGGRGGC